ATATACATAACATTGTAATAGCATAATATGGATGCATACAATATTATAATATAATAATAACTGGTGAAATGTTTGTTTAAACAACTTTAGTATAAACTCACCGACAAGAATCAATCCCAATTTAGCTCTAGTGATTGCCACGTTGATTTGATGTTCGTCTGTTATAAATCCCAGGTGGTTTAGCAACCAACCACGTGATGGTTTCTCCTCAATTTGATTTTTTGGAATAGATCTCACAGTGGAAAACAAAACATAATCCCACTCACTACCTGTAAATAAACATATCTTACATAAGGTTACTAGCTTATGTTGAGAATATATCAGAGTGTCTGTGCTAGTCAAATGGAACGTAAAATGTTAGCTATTTAATCATATTTCCAAATAAAGGGCTTTTGCATCTTACCTTGGCTTATAATGACTGTGCTGACATTGATTTCTGGGTATCCCTTTTCTTCTAAACGTTTAGTGATTTCAGCGCATTGGGCTCTGTATTGAGATAATATTATGATGGATCTGGATTTGACCTTGTGACGTACAACTAACGTAATGGCAATGCGCACCTAGTGAATGTAATGAAAATGAGATTAGTTATAAATACAAAGGCGTATCTCAGCCTAGAATAGTGAACTTGATTGACACATATTAGGCATATAACAATATATGCTCACATACCACTTGTTCAACTTCTAGTGAATTACTTTTAGATTCTTCACCCCCTTCAGCAGTAGACACAGTCAAGGACTCTTCTTTCCCAATGATATGACAGAAGACAGTTGGTGTATCTTGGTTAGGCCAGATGTTAAGTCCCTGTGGTCTTTTACGAACACATTCACCAGTTACTAGTTGTCCATTATAGAATTGAGTAGATGGGAATTTACATATACCCTGGTGCTGAAAGTTATAGAATTCAGAATTCATGTGAAAAATATCAACCTAAGTATATTTCTTTCCCTCTGTGCAAAATTTGTAAAATAATTACATATTCGACTGTGAAAAAACGCCTTACTGTTTTATTTATTTGCGATAAAATGGACAAAAAAACCTTTTCAGAATAATTTGAAGGGGTCATTTCCAAAACGTAAATGATTGGCATGAACAAATACTAGAACTAGTTATATTTTTTCAAACTAATGAATTGTTGGGCTGTACTTGTCAGTCACCGTCTTTAGTGTTATGCTAATACACTAAAAATGTTACTAACCATTCTATATTGGTCCGTTAACATTACAGCTTTCATCTGATACTGTTCCAGTAGAGATATCTCCATTCCTAACTTCTTTGCCATCGATTCAGTGACAATTGGACGTAGTTGACGATGGTCGCCAATAAGGACTACTTGAAGTGGCTTAGATGCTACAAGAGGTACAACAACTTCAGGTTCAGTGCACATACCACACTCATCGACGATACACTGTTGGATGTTGCAATCAGCAAGTCGCCTTGAGCCTGCTGTACTACATGTACAAAGAATAACGTCACAATTCGTTAGCTCCTCTGCTTCTGCTTTAGAAACTGTGGATTTGTATTTCCCAATGTCTTCTCGAGTCGGCGAATAATTCTGGTCTTTGAAGAGTCTATCAAATTCCCTAATTTCCTCACTGAATTGATTTGATTTCTGTCTAATCAAGTGATGTAAAGATACACATTGATGTTCTGGAGGCATTATCACGTCACGTCTCTTGCTCCTCTGCTGTGGAGTTCCAGGAATTGGGAATTCCTTCTGCTCAATATTGTCGCTGTATACTCGGACTATTTTCATACCAAAGTCCCCCAGAGGAAGTCTTTTCAAATAACCTGTGTGTAGTGTACAAACAATAATAATTACTAGGCATCCAATCTATTTCGAACCATCCCAGATATTTTTCTTTTTAAAAAAATGCAAAATACATTCGTTCAGGATATATGTAAAACACAAGAAGATTAAAACACTAATTTAATACGTTTCAATGTCATCACTATAACTAGCTGTGATAATGCATTCAAAATTGTTGGTAAATAACTGCGCTTGATAACAATTTAGGATTCTGACTGAGAATTAGCCAATGAGAATGATTTAATTTCAACCAACTGACAAGCTCGTTAAACCGTAAAGACCTATCAGCTTGTTTCTCATTTCGCCAATCATGTACAAGGCCATATCCATTGTAACCAGTTATGTACAAGGCCAATATTTACTTGAAGTAGGAGACGAAACGACTTATCAGGTGTTCGAGTAACAGTAATATCCTAATAATATACATATAACTACTATATATAATATTATAGCTACTTACTTGTAACCACATCAATGGATTTATTAGATGGTCCACAATATAACAACTGTTTTTTTGCTCCACTCATTTGTTTGTTCAAGTGATTAAACCAATAGGTTATGTGTACGCCAGTAACAGTTTTCCCAGTACCTTAAATAAATATATATATATATTATTGTAAATTTGTTGGCAAAAAAATAACATACTTTTGAATAAAAAATAATATACTGTCCAACTATGTTCTCATGTCAAAAGTCTTATGTCAATTGCATTCAAACATGATTTACCTGGAGGGCCTTGAATTAGTGTAAACGGTTCGCGTAGAGCTTTTTTCACAACATCATCTTGCACACGATTTAACTTATAGAATGGATGAGATGGCTTAATTTCTGTATCCTTTACCAATAATGCTTGTTTATTTTCTGAAATAAAAAAATAAAATATACACAAATAAAATATAGTATAATATTATTAGCAAAATGAAAATACACTGTAGTGATTGTGTGCAGCTCTTTACCTTCCATAATGATTCTCTTTCCCATGCATATGTTTTTCACTAATTCAGATGTATTTGCAAGATTACGAATGGCATTCTCCATGCGACTGTGAGAAAAAAATACAATTTATTTAAGTATATAGTATATATAGTATAGTATATATAATATAAAAACAATTTCTGTAACTGTACTTCATTACTTTCTCTAGTGAACAAACAAAGATGACACTCAATACTTAGTAATGTTTCTTGCATCTGTATTTGATAACAAATATTCATAGGCTGTGTAAATAATTCAGCTTGAAACTCACCTATCAGAAGATGCCTTTGGGATGACTTCTACTGTACATGGGGAAAGATGTTCTGCTGGTTGACGCAATATATTATCCGGCATCTTCATTACACTTTCGTGAACCCGCAGACGAACCTCAATGAAATTCTCTGTCTCTTCATCTTTTAATTGAGTAACAACACAATGACCTATCCACGTGTTTCCCTTGTTTACTCTGTCAACCGCCCGATTTCTGATAGATGGGTATCTTACACACAAGAATCCATACAAGTGAAGTTGTCTGTCCACACAAAACTGAACTGGTAACCGCAGTGTACCAATAATTTCCTTTTGATCACCATTCCCAATTTGTGACCAACATATCAGGATATTATTGAGTATCAATTTCTCGCCGCTGTGTACTGCTTGGTGAGCAGCTTCCATAGCAATAATTCCTTGCCAAATATTCTGGTATGAATGAAGATTGTCCCGATTCTTCAAAATTGGCACTCTTTTATTTGCAACTGCTGCAAAGCAATGCACTGGATTTCGGCGATGAGCAAGACATACATCTACTTTAGGGCTTAGATTGAAGAGTTGGATCATGGGAGTCAAAATTCCACGTTTCATTTGGGATGAGAGTTGCACTTCCACAACTTCTCCACAAGAATATGTTCTTTCGAATTCAGATGAGTGTTTTTTGGGTCCACACATTTCGACTTCTGTACAACTTGTAACGTTTCTACAAGTATGCATGTAATTATTGATGGCAGTGCTCAATTGTGTGCCATTGCCTGCAAGTACAGCAGATACAATACGTAACCAAAGTTGAGATGGTATACATTTCACAAATCTTTGTGTTGATAGGACTACAGTTTTATGGGTTGGCTGGACGTTATGTGCATCATTTGGAACATCAACAGTATTATCATTAGCATCATAAATCCGTTCTTTCCACTTCAATGTAACTGGACTATTGTCACTTGTAATACTAGGTTCAGAACATGGCTGCAAGTGATTAAAGTTTGCTACACGCTCAGTCAGTGCAACCTCTTTATACCCAGGAAGATTAAGACATATTTTCTTCTCAAATGTGGCATCTACTGCAGCTAGAACACACTGAGGTTGATCTCTGAGGCTCGTTGCCAAGTATAAAGCCCTGGTGGCACGTTCAAATTCGTTAGCAGTAGCTGCTTGCTGATTACATTGTTCACAAATTTCCATGACTTCTGCACTCTCATACGGTGGTTCTTGTGACATTAAATGAGCTATCAGTAGTCGATGTACAACTATATCTATATATCGCCGTATGGGCGATGTGAAGTGGGTATATCCTTCTGTGTTCAGAGAGAAGTGGGTTGTGTGTTCTTTGTTTATATTGTTATTTGAACTTGCATACACTGCTCGTGATTGTATTTGAAAGTAGTTATTTGTCATAATGGATAACTGGGGATGATTCTGGTCATTCAGAATTACTTCTCGTAAGTTGTTCACATCTCCATGTTGACAGAGCATTACTATCCTTTCCCATATATCATTGAAAATGTTGACATTTACATTTTCCTGGTCATTTTTTGATAGGATTTCCTCCATATTCAGAAGTTTTGCTTTTGCAGTCATGCTCACACTATTTCGTAAATGATGTTGGTGTTTTTCTTTCCAGTTCTGAAGAGCATCCGGATTTGGGGGCAGCTGTGTTCGGAGAGGAGTACATGATGGAAAAACAGACATCAGCAATGAGGCTACTTGCATATTTGCCATTACCATCATTTCCTCTATCATAGAATGAGCTAAAGGTGAATTCAATGTATCTTCATCATCATAGTTACAGACCAATGCTGCACTACCAAGACGACGTTCACGGCATTTTGTTGCTAAACGATGAAGTATCAGTATACTTTGTTGCACAACAGAGCTTTTTCCATTTTTCTTTATAATGTTTTCTGCTTCAATATACGTTAGTCTTGATGTGCTTCTAATTATACTACGACTGACCTCTGGAGTCTTCAGTATATTTGCTTCGTCATCCATAATGACTTTCAGTGTTATGACTAGTCTGTCTTCATTGGGTTGCAGACTACATAGATTGGCGCTTAACTGTGGTGGCAACATATGTACAGCTTTCTGTTTATGTGGGTAATTGGATGTTGCTCTACGTCTAGCCTCTTTATCAAGTTCACTCCCAGGTGGTATGAAGTAGGAAACATCAGCTATGTGAATCCCAATTCCATAAGACTTGTCTGGTAAGCATTCAACACTAAGTGCATCATCCAAATCAGTAGACTCTTCAGGGTCAACTGTGAATGTATGTAAATTGCGAAGGTCTGACCTACACGATATTTCACGTGGAGGTATTCGCCAGGAATCTGGATATAATCGTGCTACTTCTTGTTTTGCTGCCTTTGAGTATGTTTCTTTCACTCGATATGCCATCTTTAAAATTCTTGTTCCGTTGACCAGTGTGTCTCCAGGAGGAAGAACTTCCATAACTGCACAAATAGGATAGCGGTAATGTGGATCCCAGCGGAGATATCGAACCACAAACACCTTCAAGTGACGATCACCCAAATCAATTCTTTCAAACCTTTCAATTTTGAAATGCCCACTTTTTGATAATTGACACACTGGTATTGCATGTTTAGGCCTTTCCTTACGTCCAGGACAAATCCATATCATTTTTGGCAGAACCTTAGTGAGAGGCACCATAAGATTAATAGAAAATTCATCAATAACACATGCAATTTTCATCAGCCTTGGCTTCACAGCTCTCTTCAATATTCCAACCACCTGTCCATACATTGCTCTTTCTTCATCTTCTTCACAGTCAGTTGGCAAGATTTCAACAACTACTTCATCATTGTTCAGGGCCCTCCCACATTTCAGCCTAGTACTGATTTTAATAGTTTGGTCTTCTGAATTCAGCTCCACTGCATAGTACTTATACGATTCATTATGAAAAATACATCGTTTGTATGTAGCTGGTTCTTTTTCCAACTTCTTTTCTAATAATTCAATATCATATTCTTTAATCACTGAATTGTCATCTGTTGTCAGTATTTCATCTTCATAGGGATTCCATACATCATCCTCTTCAGAATCATACTCATCATCATAATCTGCACCAAATCTTTGTTTCTTTCTTTTTTGCTCTCTGTCTGAAGCAATCTGCCATAAGTTAGTATTGGCACCATTTCTCACTCTTTCATTGTTGCGTTCATCTGTATCTAATATATTATCAAATTCTCTGCCTTCTTGGCGTTTACGTCTGGTCTCTGTTAGTTGCCGGTCTAATTCCTGTAGTATTTTATCCTGGTCTCTTATTTCTAATACCTCTTCTTCATCATCTGACTCCCAATCATCCCACTCAACCATACTACTAGTGGCTTTATCATGTGGCAACCTGTGCTTAGGAGCTTTATCACCTGTTTCACTGAACGACAGTTCCGTAGGTTCTTGCCAAGGTCGTCGCTTGTTTGGCTCACTCATGGGTTCACTTGATGCCATCTTCTCAGGCCCTTTATCTATGTGTCCTCTTGGGATAAACTCACTGGCCTTAGGATTGAGTTTCATTTTTGACAAAATCTGTTGCTGTATACTTTCTATCGTTAGGGTATCAGGGTGCAAACTACTGTGTTTCTCACACTCTTGTATGTATCTTCGCCATGTCCTAGCACAGTCCTCAATAGAACACAAGGCAACAGGGTCTCCAACAACTACAAGCATTGACTGTGCACGACTTAAAGCTGTGTTCAGAAGTTTTCTATCTGTGAGAAATCCTAAATTTAAGTTTTCTGTAGATGATTCTGCAGCATGTGTACGAACAGGACTGATAAACAGTGCACGGTACTCCTTTCCTACAATAAGAAAAACATACATATAAATCATGGAAAAACTCATGCAATGATTAATAAAAGAAACAAATCTGCATGCTTATTTCAGAGAGGAAATTGCAGCGAATCCATCATTGAAAAGGAACAGCACAACACTAGTTGAAGTTTGTACGAAGCCCTCAACAATTTTGCTCTGCAGTGTTTTGAGATGTACACACCATATTTCATGATTGTTCGTTATTTGAATGCAGATGTATGGAATATATCCTTCTTAAACACATTATTTTTTACCTTGGACATTGAAAATACGGTCAACTGTGACTTCAGTCAGATATCTTTTTCGTAAAGATTGCCGGATTTGTTGTACCTGAAACATCATTACAACAAGATTTTATAACAACTATTACAACAGATTTTATAACGACTATAAACAAAGTAATTTGTTCCATATATTACATACTACAACAATTTCGCACCTACCTGAGTTGAATATGGGGAAATTACCCCAACTTTAGAATAATCAATCTTTCCCCAATCCTTGGGCCAATGTTTGCATAAATGTTCTACTCTGTCAGAAATCTCCATAACCTGTATTGAGAAAAAGAAATATATACATAAGTGTCAGTGTCAGTTTCATGTAAACTGAAATGAATGATCATAATTGCATTGTAAATTAGTGCATATAAAATAATACATCACAAAATTTAACACAAACTCACTTCTGCCATGTTGCAATATGATGTGTCAACCTTCAATTCACTGCCATATGCAGAATAGAATGACAAGGGGTGAATGTCTGGATGCCCTGGCTGTGGTGGGTTGGACTTTGCTATTAACCGACTACCATAGAACGACTTGGATATAAATTGCAGTATATCAGACTGACAGCGATAATTATCTACCATCATTATACGATAGGGTTCAGACTTAGTTCCAATATCAATATAGTAGTCACAGATTCTTTTCAGGATCGACTGGTCAAACTTGAGATTCCTGGCACATTTGGAATATACCTGTATTATAGATAAATAACAAGTGATGAATGTCTTCCTCAAAACAAAACGACTTAAGATATCATCACGAAATAAACAAATCTGACAAAAGTCCACCCATGGTACCTACATATCAAGTGTCAAACTAATTGGTCTGGTAGTTTTCATGAAGGAGTCAAAATAGAATTGTTTATGGATGGACGGACGACAGATGATGATGGACAGTCACCCATAAGAACAGCTCCATTCTGTCATCTTTTATGACAGTGGAGCTAATAAAAACGTGAAATTAAACAATCATATACCATCATCAGTACAGATTAGTTAGAAACATGGTCGATCCTACATTAATGGTATATTATAACACTCATAACAAATTATAATAAATTTGTTACCTCTGGGCTCATCTGTTGATGGTCCCCAGCTAAAACCACCTTGGTGTTCTCTGTTGCTAGTGTCAGTGGTGTTATCGCCTCACACTCTAAAGCCTGTCCTGCTTCGTCTATAATGATATGGGTGAAGTGCCCTTCCAATCCAATCCTCTTTAATGCAACCGAGTTGGCCAATGTTGTGACAATAACCGAGTACTTCTTTATTTGGTCTATATCATCCACCATGGGCATGTGCACACACTCAACACCTCTTCTCTCTTTTATTAGACAATATTTAAGGACAACCTCCGGAATAGACTGAACACGTATTGTTTCTGCATGAATACGCAATGGTTTGATCTCATTGATCCCTTTTTCAACCAATGGATGTAAGTAATCTGTTATATACAAATCTGCAGCACTGTACAAATAAGCACAGAAAAATATTATTTATTGGTTTGATGTAATGCATTGTACATATATCAAACTTCTGTTGTAGTGAAGTGTAGTGCAGTCTAAACAAGATAAGAACTAAATAATCTAATCTAAATAAATTCCCAATCGTTCATTTTAAATTGTAAAGATATTTTCTCACCTATTTGAATGTGTACATATTAACACTTTTGCTGTAGGCTGCTTCTTAACCACTTGCTCCACTGATACTGCTAGTGTGAAAGTCTTTCCAGTTCCGAATGGCCCATATATAATCAAAGCTGGTGATACTGTCTGTTTTGGTGCCAGTATCGAAGCCACAGCCTTTAGTTGGTTTTCGTTCATTTCCCTTCCTGCCACTTTAGGAACTCTGTGTGACTGAATTGGTAATCCTGGAACAACTGGGAAAATGATGTCCAGTTTATCGTCACACATGCCATCAATTGCATAATGCTGGCGACAGAATGGCACTCTGTTCAGCTTGAACTGAATGCTTACTTTAATTTTGTGGCCTGGTTTTACTGTCAAGTCTTGACAGAAACGACTACTTAGTTTGATAATTAACAAGTCTTTTCGTTTACCGCCTTCAGCTATCGCTCTGGCTTCGTAAACTGTATCCTTTGTTTGACCTTGAGGCTTAATTAGTATGTCTGAGACGCTTCTGATGATGAGTCTACCAGCATCATAGTCTTCAGATAGTTCTCTCTTCAAGAAAATTTTACTGTATAATTGGCCTTCTGGTGCATACAGTGTTGTATTCGTAGATTCCACTGAATCATACACTTTAATTGTAGTGTCATAACTTATGCTGTGAATAGAAAAGAATTAAGATGGTTTATTACACATTGTATGCAATAGACTGGAATTTTACAAACCTATAAATGATAAAGAATTTGCGTGGTCTACATTGGCAACTTTAGTAGATGTAAATGCATACCTTTGTAACAACTGCATTTGACTAAGTTCCTCTATGTTAAGAAGTTTATGCATCTGATGTATGTAATTTCTTTTGTTAACTTGCTCCTCACGTATGTATGTAACCTGCTCAGCAAATTCTGAAGGATCTTTATATTTTGTTAGCAGTTTACGATCAAAACTGTCAATAATGTCATCATCTCCATAGTCAATAATGTGGCTATTGGATGGATTCCATGCTTTCACATTGGTTTGTTGTCTTCGTTCTTGTAGACTGCTTACATCAGCATGATTACCAACATGCGCTGTTATTTTTTGCACTAACACAGGCTCAGACCCGAAATCAAACACTACCCACTGATGGAAACTTCCATAGGTAGTGGATTGAAAGCTAACAGTGATTATATAGTCTCCATTTTCAGTGATAAATCCACTACCTGATGCAACTTGCAGTTCATCACTACTCGATGATAGGTAGAAGTGCTCTCTGTGAATGTCATGAAGCAGCCCAACTTGTTTCAATTGTAGCTGTAAATGAAAATTTACTTTAGTGATAACAAAGACAACTCACTCACATTGGTGACCTTCACGATTTTTGACGAAAATGTACAGTTGAATATACCCACAAAATCACCTACCGTATTTGATGTCAATCTAAATTCCCATGTCCAGGTTGATTGCTCAGTAATATTTTTCTCTAGTGTAGTGACTAGTTCAGTTGAACATTCACAGCTAACATTCTGTAGGCTCTCTCGCATCTAAAAAGAACAATGGCATAATTTATTACTTCTTTCTTAAAATACTTCAATATTGTAAAATAACATTAATCATTTAAACCAGACTTACAATATTATTTTCATTCAAGTACTTCTCAAGGATTTTGTCAACAAAAGAATACAGATGAGTTTCTTTTGCTCGCTTCATTTTCATTTTGCGATGGTCTTTTCTTTCACGCCATTCTGCCAATTCTTCTTCACTATGTGCATAACCACACTCTCCATATGGGCATGAATCTTTGTGCTTAGATTCTCTGAAAATACAATATATTTATGGTTTAATTAAATTTCAAAAACAATTTGATATCTGCTGGTCGTAAATCATATCTTGAATAAATGTGTGCATTTTTAGCTGCATTTGTAATAAAATAAACAAGTTCAATGAGTGGGTGCTGTAATGGTTCATCAGACACTCACTGTTTTTGCTATGGAAGACAAATATTTAATAAAGAAATATTTTCTAAAAAGGCAATCTTCAGTATATATTAATCAAGATGTATGTTTCACTATACAAGAGATTTAGTTTCTACTACTATTTGAAAGTAATGTGCATTTTAATGCTGCCTGTGTGACCAAAGAACAGTCACTTAGAGACTGACCATTTTTACAATATGGTGTAATAAAATGAAATGTACCTTGGACATATTTGAAGGTTTTTTGTATTCCATGGTGGTGGTCTATATTGCCATTCATGTTCTCTATCTTTATCGGTCATCACTCTTTGTTTGTGTTTGGAGGACGTACAGTGTTGTTGAAAGTTGATTTTAGTATCACAGCTTTTACCACAATAATCACAGTAGTATGCACTGATCAAATGTTTGTTAAGATCTAACTGAGTCTTGATTTGATGTGGTAGCATTTCATTCTGTTCATGAGTTTTTGTCTGTTTCACTGGAATGTGCATCATCTTCTGTAAATCTTCTCTTTTAAGTACTACAAAAACAAAACAAAAATAAAAACAAAATAGTGAATTATAACTCACGAAGAACATTATGTAGGTCACAAATGCACTCCGATGCTAAACATTGTTGGTGACCTACCATCATACTTCGCTTGCCATTTCCATAAGGTCATCTCTTCATCACTATGTGGATTCATGCAATCTCCTCCTTTTAATATTTGATAATGATCTTTTCCCAAAGCTGCATGTTTGCACATCGATAACAGTTGATACTGCTTAGGAATACTGTTAACAGCTATCCATTTCCTCTTCAAGTTTAACAGTAATTCCATATTACTAGCTTCCCATTTGTGTAGACCATTGTCACAGTGGCCTTGCATTCGGCTGCTTTCGTCAACTAGTTTTCCATTTGTTTTCCAGCATTCTTTACATACACACTTCAACTGAAATGGCATATTCTTTCCATCTCTGTGCTCATCTTGCGGGGCCTGGTACAGGGATGCTGCGACAATATGTTCTCGTGTAATATCTGAATCAGCCTCCAATTCCCATACCAGCTTCTCTGCAACTGAGTGAGCGAAAACACACTCAGACTTTTTATTGTCAATGTTTTTGTGAAGTATGCGACGACATAGTTGAAACTGTTTGTTATGTTCTGCTTTTGGGTGCACCGTCCCAATCCTAGAATATACAGCTCCTTGTTCAGTCTCCACCAAATGCATCATCATTCTGTTTTGCTGCAGTGAATGACTACATTGACGTTTTCTCTGGAAATCTTGTATGCAAATCTTGGACGATTCTTCAAAACATTTTTTACAACAGAACAGGAAGTTTCCCTTGCAATGCTCAAGGAGAGCTTTCACTCGTTCTTGTTGTTCGTCGGTCAATTTTGGCACAAGTGACCTACCAACAGTGTTGTGTGCTTTATTTGGCAAACATACTTCATTAGCAACAGTCATCTCTGAAGCAATATTGCGGTTACGGTTAGCGTCACCCATCTCCAGCTCACATGTCCTGTGGTTTGGCAATGTTTTGAGATACTCCAGTAAAATTCCTCTGTCCAATTTGTCATCTCTTTCTCTGGTCCAAAACTCGATTTCTGTTTCTCCATGGCCGAAGAAACATTTGTTTTTGGGAACTGCACATCTTTTTTTACTGCAAAACTCAAGGCAAGGTCGATATTTGCCAAGATAACCATTCATTATCCGTGCTCGAATTTTATTCCAGTAACGAAACTCTTCATTTTTCTTGCAAGATAGCAAGGTGTTCTTAGCGCAATTGTGGGGATCTGTTCTTGCATAGTGAAAGCTTTCTTCTCCATATTGGCCTGGAGATTGTACGAAGCATTTGCTGCATGCCAGGGCGAAATCGTGCGTCTTCAACATGTTTTGAAATGATGGTGATAGCGATTCCAAAGTTGGTTTCATAATTGGCAACTTTTTATTCTGTTCATGAATAGATAAAGCATATTTTATATATATGAATTAAGTCGTCACAGATATCCTTACTCGAACAATACATTTGAGAATTGTTTGAATTGATTTTTTTTGCATGTTCAACGTAGTTGATAGAAAGTTATTATACCTTCATATTCGCTCCTACAACTTTCCATTCGTCATTACCATTGTTTGAACTTACAACTGAGGATCTTGGCAGTTTTTTGTTTTTTGTATTGTTCACCTCCAACGGTGTTATTGGGTGTTGAATATCAGGTTGATATTGCTGAACTTTGTCTTTGGTCATTGTCGGTATCTGCTGCCTTTTCTACGAAAACATTCAATTACCTTTTTTAATAGCAGCAATGCAGATTGAAAGTGAACAACTTTTAAAGCGGGAGGGTCGTCACCTGCACACGCGCGGGAATTGAGTCCCAAGCGATGATAACACGCGCTAAAACGCAAAGGCTCATGGGTATACGCTTGTTTGTGAACAGTGACACGCTATGGCCACCTGACGCATGCGTAGGTGACGACCATCCCGCTTTAACTAATGTAATGCATTCCGTCAACAAAACATACATTGTAACAATGAGCCCACTACTGACTATTAAATGATAGTGATTACATTGGAGGATATGTTATTAATATGATAATATTTTCCGTACAGTTCAAGTAGAACACTTTAATATTATCCGCATACCTTTTGCGCTGTGACCATTTCCCAGCCGTCACCACTATCATCAATCTTTGTTTTCGTCTTCTCTAATGGCAATTCTGCTTGATGTCCTGGTGAAAGTAATTCATTCGCATTTCTCATTGGGATATTCAATTCTGTATTATTGGCTTCCACGTTGGGATCCGGAGAGTTTGTTGTGGTCGACCTCATCGGAATGCATTTATTCTGGGACGTCATTGCATCCGTTTTCTGTGAAAATGACAGTTGACATCAAAATGGAAAACATAGTTAAGAGTAAAGATTATATCAGTGGCCTACGAGGAACATGACGTTTTTAATGTCGTGGTTTCAAAATTGTTGAATAACTCAAATCCATTATAGAAATATGAATTCCTCGCCAGGATCCGTAAAATAATATTTCACAGAAGAAATCATTGAGTGTTTGCATGTAATAATAGTTAAGAGTGTAATATAAGTCAATAGAATATTGATATAAAATGTTATCCAATCTTCAGAGATTATATGAAAAATATTGAAATACGTACACGTTGTTTAGAAGCTACAACCTTTAGTTTACTCCTAGTTGGAAGCAGATTGGGGATTATGTCCGGTTGAGGTTTTCTTTGAGGTTGAACAGATGTTTTTTTAGTACTGGCCCTTTGAGATGAAGAAGAACGGCGTGTGCTCACATCTTCTTTCTGTTTGCCAATACCTGGTGATGGTGCAGCTGTACTTGGCGCTGACGAGTGCCTTGTCCTTTGTTGTTTGGGGTCAGATTGTTCTGAACAAACAAATAAATAAATAAATATTTTTCATGAATAAACACTGGGCAGTGTGAAGAAAAGGATGTGGCATTCAGTTATGAAAGCAAAAAAGAGAATTTGTACATATAATCTATCGTTGGGTTAGACAGTTAGGTTGTTTAATATGGTGGCCCATATACTATACAATTGGCCTGATACATGAAAATCGCTACTTGAAAAAAAGTCGGTCGGGTACTTGAAAATTGCTCGGCTACGTGAAAATTGCACGGCTACATGAAAACCAGTCGGCTACTTGAAAATCGATCGGCTACGTGAAAATCACGGTAACAATTTTTCAATTTTTAAAGAAAACAAACGAGAAACAGTCGACTGTATGCAGCCCAGTGGGCTGACGATGATGCATTTGTGTCGGTTATTTTTTATGGTGTACTTAACGGTATTGTGTTAAAACTCATATGCATGTTTACATGAAAGCTTGCACCACGTAAAATGAGGAGTTGAAATTTAAATCCAGAGCAATGGTTTACATAAACACGGAGCTCTTCAACTTAACAACGTTGAGACGAAATACCTATACGCGTGATGATTTAGACATGTTTTTCGATAACATGCAATTATAAATTTATGTATTATTATTACCAACAGGGAAGGATTCATGTGTTCAGTTGGTTTTGAACTTGGGTTCTTCACCTGGTTTGTTTCTACTATACGATGTAGTACAACTTGAATATATCTAGTACTCGAGTACCAATCTGATCTATGCATATATCCTGTTTGGCAATCGAGATTCTGTCATCGTTTTTAATATCCAAATTACACGAATGATTAGTTTTTGTGCATTCTTAAGTATTACAAATTATAATACTTGTATAGATTTTTTTTTTTATTTAAAATAATGTTTAATGTTAAATAATGCGTCCTGTAACTGAATTCTGCCTTCTCATTGGTTAAGGTTAGTTGGAGGGAGTCGTGACTACCACACTCGTGAAAGACTACATTCCCAATTCTGAACATTTTAAACATGTGGAATTTTTCAATGTATTCTTTGGTGCTATCGCCTCAGCTTCGACAATCACGCCGATTTCTTTTTTCAAGAATAAGTCATGATAATTGAGAGCAATTTACATATATGAACTTTGCATCACCAGTAACCTCGTAACTGAGGGTACGTGGTTCACCTGACTTCGTAAGCATACACAAGAAAATCGTACATGGTGTACAGTACAGGTCGCATGTTACCTCGCAACATGCGACGCGATTTTCCAGATAGCCGAGCAATTTCAATAAAGCGGCGCAATTTTTAAGTAGCCGACCGATTTTTTTGTTCAAGTATCGGACCAATTGTTGCTGGCACATCGCATTGTATATTCACAAATGATGGACATTCCTTATAATCGTTAATGGTATTATTCATAGTATATTACCTTGGCGACGTGTTGGTCTTGAGCGATGTTTCTTTTTCTTAGCTGGTGATGGTTTCTGGTTTTGCATCTTAGGAAATAATTATTGAGATACAAACAATGACAATAAACAATAAGGCAATTAAAGATCTTGTAAATTACTATGGATTAAAAACAGATTATACTGATTATACTAAAAAATCAAAACAACGAGACGCGTGCAGAAAAATATATACCCCATCTCTTGAAACAAATATTTTGATTAAATAAACATTTAAGAAATAAAAGATATTCGACCTCGAGTTTAATATCAATATGCTATGGAATATGGCATTCAGTTGTTAATTACACATGCTTAAAACTCGATTCGTCAGAGTGTGTACCTTTTTGCTATGAGCCAGCACTTCTTTGGGAAGCCACTCCTCCTTGACCTTGCCGTCATCTACGGGTGGCGGGGCTACTCCTCCTGTGTTTCCCATTTCTCGTCGTCGAGGGCGCACTCGTTCACTGTACCCGGGGTAATATCCGTAATCACCGGGTAGTGTGCTATACGGTCCTCGCTGTTCTTCATAAACAAACGATGGTTGTGGAATCAACCCTTGTGCCAAGAAAAACAGCGTGCGGGGATCAATGTACTCAGGCTCGTTTACAAACTCGTAATTTCCCCTTGTCTGAAAATATACATTCAGAAAAAAAAAGTAAAACATCATAACGTGATTCGGGGTTGAAACAATGTATGTTAAACTTATAGAAGTCAGATGACTGCGCACTAAATTGACAGTAAATCTGATTTCACTTACTACTCAATATCTAGCATGGATCAGACATAATTCTAGTGTAATTGACTGCTGTCTGTTGTCATCTTCGGCTCTAAATAGCACATAAACCCGGACAAAAAATAAACATATCGGCTCTGCCTTTATGTTTATTTTCAACCGGGTTTCTATAACTTTTACGTAGATCTAATCCGCGACCCGTATAAGCCCAGGCTGTTTATTCAGAGACTGGTCAGTGAGTAAGAGTGATTAGCGGACATAGTCCTAATTAAATAGAATTCTCCTTTTTTAAAAGTCAGTCCATGCCTGTAATCCCTCATTATCGATCTGAATTTAGTTTCCAATAGATGAGTATTACCATTTGTCATGAACGGGTCATAATTCAAATTATTGTTTCGTTCAAGTCCATTGGATGTTTTGATTGAACAGTCATTTAACATGTGTTCCTATTCAGAAGGTAGCAGAATGCAATGAGCAGAATCACGAGCGATCTGATTTTTTATTATTATTATTTTAACTAGTTAGAGGTGCTTTTTAAAAACTGATTAACGGCAAGTAAAACTAAAAAAGCTAAATATACAAACAAAAATAAAACATAGTTGAACTCTGGTGACCTTGCCCTTTGTTATAATACAATTCCCTTTATCATAGTTTGTTTCAATATAAATATGCATTGTCATAATTAATTTTGAATACAAACAAGTTTTGGGGTTGACCAACAGTGGGGAATCAGTCTACCGAATGTCCTTAAAAGATGTAAATATCTTACAAAAACATTGGTGTCTTATTTGTTTAATTATTTTAAGGGACATAATTTCAAGCTTTCTTCAAAGTAATTCAGATATTTTAGTATAAAAACAAATGTCTCATTGAAAAAAAAAAGTGCTGCATTTAGATGTGAATAGATTCATAAAACATGCAAGATAACAGAAAATTTTAGCTGGCTTTAGTCCAAGTATTTTGTACAGGTGTCTGTCAAAAATTAATGATTCACTGAGACAAATATGAACTGCCTCATTGTGTGACTACTGTATTATATGAAAAGTAAAAAAAAACACCCTTTATGAATAGCTATCATGTTGCAAGCTCTGCTTTGTATGCAAATCAACTTAAATAGTTAGTTGGTGTCCAGTGGAGGGAGAAGTCAACAGTACTGTTGCCTCCTGAGAATCTACATCTTCAAACACTGCAATCTTTGAAGTGCGTTTTTAAACTAGTATTATAAAAACTCTATCATTCTGTTTTAATAGCTGAGAAACATATTCCTGTGAGTTTTCATTTGTCGAATGAACTGTTTGTCAAATACAGAATACATATATTTTAGAATAATTTTCTTTTGCTTTTAATATATTTTTATGTATTGTTTTTGATTTGATAACTTTGAACTAAACAGATTTTCTATTAGCTTCAGATCTTGATCAAAGTTAGGCACCCAGTTCATAGGAGTGCTTATATTGATTTTCTGACATCTTGTTTTCTGTATAGATTTTATTGGTAGGTTTGCAAATGTGTATCAGACTGTACAATCTCTGCATGAGTTGGTTTTGAAACCCAGTATGGGATTCTGAGATACATTACCAAGGATATTATTACAAGATAAATCATTTGCTTCATTGAACACATACAACAATGCATATTTTCACTGAGATCAGTGATCTTTGATGTGTATCACCAGTGATCAGTCAAGTAGAAACAGTCAAAATATTTTATCAGATTTTCTCAATTTTTGCATGATGTTTTCACACAGGACATCTGTTGTTCAAACTCGGGGAAGACTTTATACTGATGAATAAGGTGACTTATATATTGAATATTCAAGAGTCACACACGATCTTGTTCGCATTTGCGTTACTTGGCCTCAGGCCGGCTGAATACCCAGGTTGACCAGTTATCGTATGTTGACAGGTCGAAGAATAAGAGTGCAGTAATTCAATAATGGGTAATGTACAGTATTATAATAAAAGTTAGAGTTGACCATCACAAACTGAATATTTTGAAAATTAATTTGCAAGGGAAATCACAACACAAAATTATATGATGCAAATTAAACACTAAGTGAACGAAAAGAAAATAATGTTTGCACATTGTTATCTTCTCCTACACTTTATAACGGTCATCCCTTGGTTTAGATTATATTCCGGCGCAGCAGCAATTTCATTGTTTTTTTAGAATGATCCAAAAACAAACTTTTCAACTACCCTTCCATGTGACAACGTGCCCATCTGGTGTGACGTCATCCATTTACTCACTTGCATGAATACTATACATTTTTGGAATGGACCATATATTCCAGGAATTTCGTCATTGTAACACATTTTATAATCGTTAAATGATTAGCATAGATCCAATGTTTAATTGTTTCGCCAAAAGATGAAGAACACTAGCTATCCTGGGGCTGTTCTGCAAAATCTAATCTGTACCAACAAAATTACCAAAGGAAAATATTCGGTGTTTGTGCGAGTCCGGAAAATTACTGGGCTACACGAAATAAAATGAAAGTGACCAATTTGAGAGTCGTGCATTTAATGAAATACAGTGACCCCTCGCTAAGACGCGCCTCGGTAAGTCGCGATTCGGCTAAGTCGCAGGTAGTTTGATGGCTCCCAAAATTTCTATTGTGTCTTGACGGCAGTTTTGAAGTACAGACACTAATGTTTTGTTGCATAAAGAGACAATTTTACTGTCCGTCAATTACTGAGATGTGAATGGGTGACGGCGGCCTTACTCAAGGTGTCAACAGGGGTGTCGAGTAGCAACTGTACGTACATGTACTTCTCGGCCGCCCCTTTGGTATACCTCTATAAAACTCGCTACAATGAGTTGAATTCATCATTCTGATCTCTATTTCTCAACTGAGCAGCATGTCTAAGCGAAAGCTATCCAGTCTGTCCGTACGCCATAAACTCACAGCGATCGACCGTGTCGAGAAAAGGTGAAACCACGTTAAGGGTTGCACGTGATCTAGCAATGGGTGAGCCCACTATTCGTAGTTTCAATATGATACGACATTTAATTACTATAGTCTTTTGCATTACCTGCTGTCCATGGCCATATCCTGCGGCACCTGCAGTAACTATCTCGTCCTCAAAATCTTCTTCGTCGTCTGATACCTATTTAAAAGGAAAACATATCACTAAAATCACTCATTAAATTAAATTTAATTTATATTCTAAGCACATGGTGTTGCATAACTAACATGGCGTGTACAGTTAATGGTTAGACCCTTTCATATTGATATTTAAATTGAAATTATCACCACACACAACTAGTAGTTTGGGGAGTACTAGTAATAAACGCTAATGCGCATGCGCTTTTAATTACTGGTACACACTAGTAATCAAACGATCAAACGCGCACATCTGAATTTTTCATTATTGTTTATCCAGCATACTAATTACTATATTATGTTACTATGTATTGGTAAAAAAACATAAAATCGCTAGGTTTTCTATATTTCTTCTTCAATACGTTTTACCACGATATAAATTAATTGTTTACCACGGTTCAAACCAACAGTTTAACACGATACAAACTAACAGTTTACCACAGTTTACCACGATACAAACTAAATGCACGACATAAAATAGAACGCACTGTGTTTGGAGGCAACCACTGCATTGGTGAGTCACGTCTTAATCTGGACTCATGCAACCATAACATTTATTGAATAGAATCGAAGGCGACCTGGGCGACCTTGTTTAGAGCGTGGGTGAAAACAATTCTTCAATAACTTTACTTTGCCATCTATATTGTCCCTATACTGTCGTTATTAGATTCTTCCCAATTCATGGAGACTGTTGCGTGTTATAATCGAGTAGCGAGCGTGTTATTTTACATGTAATACATAACATGGTGTCCTTGTGTGTGTGTTTTTTTCTATTTCTATAATTTTCAATATAATTACAACTTGCAAAAATGAATGAATATTCTTAGCATACTAATAATATGAAAGAAAATTGGCTGGCAGTATAATAACCGTCTTCTTACCTTCAAATCTTCTGATCTGCAGTCGAACGATCTAAAACACAGAAATGAGACTTGTTTAGCTACGTGTGTCTCTTTGTTATTAACTTGTGCGCGTCATAGCAGTTTCGGTCACGTGGGACAGTCTAGTTACTTTTTCTACGAATTTGCGAGGAGTACAAGGAATTTGTGGGAAGATCGTTGATTTAATCGTTTCCCCGTAAAATACCATCAATTTTTCGACTAACAATAGTAATGTAATGTGAATCACGCCAGGGTACGTGGTATTTATTTATTTTTTTTACGCTCTTTTTCCCAGGATCACTTATATTACAAAATGAAGACGAAAAAGTGAGCACTGAGGGCCTGTCAGTGTGCACTGGGGTATAGATCGGCTCCAAAGGCGAGACAGTAAAACGTTGGTTCGGGCATGGTTTACAGAGTTTGTTGCTGTTGAGGGGAGTATAACATTTTGAGCAGATCTCCGAAACCTGGGATGTTCGATTCTCTGGTGTACATGTCTCCGTGAGGTCATACACACAAGAGAAAAAAAGATGGTTGCCCAATACCGATTAACAGGTAATAACAGGTCATATTAATTGGAATTATTGTGGTAAAAAAGCATTTAGTCCGTGTTCAAAACACATTTTTCTACCATCATGCATTTCGTTCTATGTCCGTTCGCAAAACATTGCAAGAGGGTATCTCAACACATGAAACAGGGAACGAACTTAGACATTCGTGTATTTCATGATTGTAAGCTTAGATGGAACTTACTAAAATTTAGTTCTTACAGCCAGCTTCTACGCCGTTTAAAACGCTTTTAAGGAGATCAGAGTTGGTCATGCTTATGTGTGAACGCGATGGTGACATACCCGGATGAACAATTTTAGCAGCTCCGATTTGCCTATATTTGGCTACAGCCAAGGTGCTACAGCTCCGTGTACAGAATAAACTCACGGTATGGCTACGTCGAATGTTCTCAATTAGTGGACATATAGTGAGACAATTATATTCGTTCTCTTACCACGGAAATATTGCGAGTAATACTGCTTTACAGTGTATACACAGGTGATTGAACTTTGACCTCGGGTGGGTAATTGCAAACTTAGTCGATAAACGGCCGGAACAATATGCCAGTTTTCGATCAGTAAAACATTCGAACGCTGTAACTTTGATTCAAAAATTACTTTATTTTATGCTCAAAATGTTTTCAACTACGTTTTGTCGGTAATAAAATTGGAGTTTTTTTAAGGTGGAATTATTTTGTGATAGCAATGTTCCATCACAGGGAGCCCAGGAACTATAATCAACTGTAAGCCGTCTCTATGAGCGGGGGGGGGGGGTGTCGACTGCTATCTAGTATAAGAAATAGACAAGGAATGAAGGCTCCAGCCAGCTCACATTTTTAAAACTGGCCATGGAAAAAACAGACAAAAAAAATGAAAAATAAAATCCATAAAAAATACCATGTTTGAAGAATATTAGTTGCTCTTTCAAATTTCGCCAAATCTTTGCCTATATTTTACCGATATCTTCAGAATAAATCAAGAAAACTACACAAATTGACATTTACGAATATTCTAACGGTTAACGGAATGCTGGCACAGTTGGAGGCATGGCCTAAGCAGAATGTGTCAAGAACCAATCACAAGACTGGTTACGAACTGGTTCGTAGATGGAGTCATTTTGTGTGGGCTCGCCGGAGCCTTTATCCCTTTAATTTCTTACACTAGATATCCCCGTCCCCGCGTTCATAGGCTCAGTTGATTATAGTTCCTGGGCTCCATGTGGTTTAATGTCAAACGCATACTAAACCTATATATTTCGATAACTGTTCTTACAGACAAAAAGCTCTATTCTACGAACATAAGAGACAATCAAACGATACACAACAAACACATTCACTGTACAAAATAACAGTACCATAACATAAACTAGACAAAAAAGGTAAAAATTTATTTTTCAAAAGTAAAAATGATATCGATAAAATCAGTGGAATTACTGTAATCATTAACAATGCTGTTAAAATGCCCACATACACGTGATAGAAAAATATTTTTCTTAAATTAATATTGGAAATCCCCATTTCAAATACACGTTCTTTATGATGACTCGTTGAAAATTGTGAGAGGGATTTTGTCCCAAAATGTGTCGTATACTAGTATGTTATATTTATTTCAAAATAAAGGGATTGTTTTTTGTTGTTCTTTTTTTTATTATTTATTTGTAATATCTTTATGTGCTTCTCAATACTGAGTCTCGATTCGAAACCATTCAGAAAATATTCTACAACACTCATTGTACTGTGAAGTCCTGTTAATAGCTGCTGTGGACACGAATTGGGAGCCATGTTTATTATGTTCTATACGTCGCTAAGCAATCCCTGGTAAGGGCGGGGTCAAGGTACCTTTTTGTTACTGATCTATTCATTTTTTCACCTTTGGTTGGGGAGCGTGAGTTGGGGTGAAATATGGTGTCATGGATATTGGGTGATAAAGATTGTTGTTCGTCGTCTTTTTACAAATAAACTCGATGTGATTGTAACTCCACGGCGCGTATTTAGATCTCCGTCACGTGTTTTTTTTGTTTTGTTTTTTTGTTTTTGTTTCTTTTGTTTTTTAAATATCGTGGGAATAGATCATTATGCGGATCAGTAAGCAAGTGTTTAGATTACGGTAACAGGTGACATCATCAAACGTCTCCAGGTAATACACTAACGACATGGCGCATTTTTTTCAGATAATTATAAAGAAATATTCTATAGTATTTATATGCAAATAAAAAAACAGTAAAGTAAGACATCGGGAAATTAAAGCGTCACTCGAGCATATTACGCAATGGGTCGTCGACTTACCTTGCCATGACGATATATCAGTTTCGTTCTTATGTCCTAGTCAGAAATACCAATGTCTACCACGTAACAACCACGTGTGATCTATTCAAAAATGTAATCGCTTATGAGATCAGAATCACCTAGAAAAAAACATGTAACATTGTTATTACAAATACATATTCTATTCTCTTTGGTTGCAGTCAAATCTGTGCTACACAAGACTGTCAAAGGGCAGTTCAATAGTTTCATAGCAACGCATGCGTCATTGATGATGAGTTTTGAAATAACCCACCCTACACAAACACCCCTATTTATATACATACACCCGAGAAGCCTGAAGGGGTCGGGCATTTTCAAATAAATTTGTCCACCTGAAAGTAAAAACCTGTGGACTATAGTGGGGGATGTGGTAAGGTTGGTTGGGCATAATTTATTTAGTGTCTCTAATGATTTTTCTCTTCCCCAAATATCCCGAGGGGAGGAAGATTGGGGTTCATATTTATTAGTGTATAAATAGGCAAGTGGTAGGTGAGTAGAGTGGCCAATCACGTTAAATGACAATCAGTCAGTCATTCAGTCGAAATATCGAAGTCGCAAAACACAGTGGTCGTTACCTGACCGTTTTTTTTTTAGTGGTCGTAATACAAGTCAATATACCCATCGAAACCACATCGGAATTTGCTTCCTGTTTTTGCTGTTGTTGTTTGGATTCTTTCCTTCTGTATAACAATGTCTGTCGACGGAACTAAAAACCGTGGTCTGTCCTAACTTCGCAAGTTTGGTTACTATAGACTCTCTGTTAATATTTAATCGGTAGTCGTACCATACTTGGTCACACGACCTCTTGTCCTGATTATGTCACTAACTCTACACTTATTATATCTTCATGTAGATTAGTAATCAGTTTTTTAGTATATACATATTAGTAACACCCACAATATTGGTACATATGTGTGTAGATTGGTAACACTTTTATCATACGTAGATTAGTGAATAGTCCGGCATTTCGGGACTTATTTTACGTTTTCGTCAGTTTGTCGTAGCGTAAGTCGTTAATCGCAAAAAGTGCCCGCGGTTTACCAGTTAATAACCCCAACTTTATTGTCATTGTCTTATAAATGTCACAAATGATTAATTAACTGGTCGTTCTCATAGATCAATATTTAGTGCACATCGTGCAAAATTTCCTCGTAGAGTATAGTAAACATATAAGAAAAAATCAAACATGATAGAGGCCGTCGACTGTGTGGTGCAGGGGGGGGGGGGATTGGCACGAGAGGGCGCCATCCGATCTGAATGGAACGTTTCGACGTCAGTCGTCCGTAGCCCACCGTCAAAGCAACAACGTCCCGTTTACGAACAGATGAAATCATTTCAACAATTTCTTTACAGAATAATCCTCAACAAAACTTAGAAACATTTCATAGACAAATACAGGCTCCAAATTTATGTCTATTGCAAAACAATTCATTCGACAACCAGTTTGATGCCACAATTTCTTGCTGGAGCCCGAGTTC